TGATATATGTATGACAGAAATAGAACTGATTTTCAAAGTTGATTTGGTTGAAATTTGTTCACAATGGAATCCCACCTTCAGTTTGCACTGAAAAGTGTCTTATGTATGCTATTTTTTGTGGCTTTGCCTCTGTGCTTGCTGCTAGATTTTAGTATTCCTGACAAACAAACATAAGGGTATTTAATATTTGACTATTTTAAGAGCTTTTAATAGCTATTTTAATAGCTTTTATTTTACAGTCACATCAGAGTTGATAATAAAACAGGATTTCCAAGGGAATTAATGCATAAATGAAATGAGCAGCAATCAATAAATAAAGGAAAACGTTAATAATTATTCTTGACATGCAGTAGCTAGAAAGATATCAGAATTTGACTCACAAGGATTAGATTTTGAAAGCCATTTCTTCCTCCTTCGCTGATGGTCCATAATTTTAAATCTTAAGCATGATCTCTCCTTAAAACCATGGGAAGTGTAGATTAGAATAAAACAGAATTCAAACAATGGTCCATGACTCCCTTTAACACGAACAAACAGAATTTTGCTTGAAAATTACAGGGTATCTTGCATTTCAAGGAATCACAAACTTCTTGTGCACTTGGGAATATTAGACTCTTCCATAATATGGTTTTGGCAGTTTAATATGAAAAAGACCACTTGTGCCACACCAGTTTATAATAATATGCCTTTGAAGGGGGTAAATCCAGGCTATCAGAGAGATTAAAACCTTGATATGTAAGCTGCTTTACTGGTGAATGAAAAAGAGCAGGGCTGAAAAGAGAACCTAAGGAGAAACAAAACGCCAAATCTCCAGGAAATTAAACGCTTACAACTACTGTAAATGTTAGGAATATTAAGAACAAAATGAAAGTTAAAAGAATGCCAGAGATAACAGCTACTATATTATCTTATGTGATTATGATGTAACAAGAATAACAGAAATATGGCTGAAGGAGTGATGGTGATGAATATACAGTAGCAATAGCATATAGTGTTCTTGAGAGAGAGAGAAAATAGAAGAAGTGGAGGTGTAGCACTGTACAGCAAAAATAGCATAGATTAGATACAGGAACTTAATCTAGATGAATCAAGGATTTTAGAATCTGTATGTATCAGTTATGAATATTCCAAAGCATATTGTTAGGAGTGTGCTATGGGTCACAAAAGTATTCAGATCAATTGCAATTCAACACTGTATAATGAAACAAAGAATGTATGTAGAGGAAGAAGTGGAATCTCATGGGAGATTTTAATTCTGCTCACATAGATTGGATATCAGCCACTGAAACAGAAAAGCTAGTGATTTCTTACTTCATCAGATGACCTCAGATAATGCCAGCAGTGATCAAATCTTTTCAAACAGGAGCAAGAGTAAGGAAAGGTATGACTAGGATAATGTAAGCCTTCAAATTTATTTTAAAACTGTACAGGTACACAAAAAAAGATTAATAATTTCAGGTAAACAGATTATAAAGGAATGAGATGTTAAGAAAAGCATTTTGATAGAATATAGATATAGCACGAGCATCGAATGAATGGCAAGAATTTAAAGATATTCTGTTTGAAGCACACAACAGAATCACACCGCAAAAAAGTCAAATTAAAGTCTAGAAAGCAGTGGTCCATACACTTCACTAAATCAAGAAAAATCAAAGCAGAAAGAAAGCACTTATAAAATAATTAAAAATTAAAAGGATTCAGTTAAAGAAACAGTTTAATGAACTGCAACTACAGGTTAGAAAAATAACTTTTAGAATGTTAAAGAAAGACTTGTACAGAATAGAGTCCAGTTTTAAGAAGAAGCTTTTTTTTCTGGCTTGTTGAAGATGGTGTTTTTGTGCATTTGGTCTACAGTGGCAGAATTCTGTTTCACAGCTCTGTAGGAATTATAACTCAGGAAGCTACCAATTGTAAATAGCTGACTGTAGTGTAACTGCTGTGCCTATTGGATAATTGTGTTATTTATTGTTAACATGTATTTGTGTGTCCTGTCAATGAGCATGATAGACTTCAGCAGAGCTGTGCTGGAGAACAGAAGTCCCCTGCCATGTAAGACTCGATTACTTCTTGCCTGTTATTTTGTAACAATTAACAAGAGTGATGGCAGGCTGCCTCTCCGGCGACCACCCCCCGTATCCAGAGCTCAGGGGGTAAATGTGGCAGTTAAATACTGTACATGTACAGCACTCTTGTGCCACAGCTAGAACTTTATTTCAAAACGCATCTGAGTGTGGGATGTCATAGAAGATCCTCAGCAAATAAATTTCCCTGGAACCTCCCTCCTGCTGGATTGCTGGCCATGTTCTTTGCTTGTAGCTGAAATTCAGTCATTTTGAAGCTGTTATTCTTCCTACAGCTAATGAATGAATACTGGATTTTGAAAGCTAAACAAATGTCTTCCACAAATGTAATGGATATACTGTATACCCATATTCTGAATTAAAGGAGTCAACATGATTGTTAGGGGTCTAGCAGTTTATTCATAATGGTACACCCCATCAACAGTATTTCTTCAAAACATTTATTATGCAGTTATACTGATTCATGAACTGCTGGGCACAAACACCATCATCTGTAGCTAGAGTTCACTGATTGGCTGCTAGTTACCATGACCACTCAGAAAGCCAGGTGTAGTGGCCAGAACACAGAATTGCCTCCTTATGGGAAACCCCAAGAACAGGAGAGCATACCAAGGTATCATAGGCAATTAGTAAAATAAGCACAGCAAGAAATAACTAGACTTGAGTTCGCTGCAGGTATGTAGCCCTTGGGATAGTGCACACTATTAAAAAGAGTCCACTATCAGTAGCCCGTATTTCCTAGAGAGACTAGAAAATGAATTATATATTACACTCTGCTGCTATGATGTATCTGATAAAACCTTTCCTCTCTTTTGAAAGACACAGCACAAGGAGAATTGAAAAGCCATTCAGAGAGACAAGTCAGTATCGGAACCTGGGCATGAACTGGGGAACTTTCTGATAACTAGTGGACACCTTTACATGCTTTACAATGGTCTTCAATTGGACCAATAGATGGTGCACTTTCCCCTGGGCTGCAAACCATAGCAAATTGCTTTCTCCTCTGGGCTAGGCTGTGCCCTCTTTTCACTTGACAGCTGTGTGGATATTAAACATCCAATCCAAATCAAGGTATTTGGGAAGAGCAGATGTTATTGTGTGTCCTGGTCTAACACTGGAGTCCTGGAGTTACACATCTGTGCTCACATGTTCTGCCCTGATCTCCCTTATTCTTTCAGGAGATTGTAAAGGATAATGGAACACAAGGACTTCACAGGCGCCAACTATGGAGTGATTTACAAAATCAAAGTTTAAATCAAAAGTGCCCACTAGTTTGACATAAAATAAGGCTGCAACGCAGAAATGGTCTCAGAAGAGATTCAGCAGCTGCCTGGGCTACAAGATGTTCAGGCAGAAATGTTGCAGAAGGCTGAAAAATCAGATTACCAAAATATTCAGGTATCTCAACGGCATCATGGGGCTTTGGGATTAACTACTCAAGGAAACTTTAAACAGCACATTTCGCAGCATACTAATTCAGCAGGAATTCTTAATCAGGGCATGTAAGGATGACTGAGTGATCAAAAAGCTTGAAATTGTCATCGAGTGAGTATGGTTTAACTATTGCACTTCATCAACTTGTGGATGATGGATGTGATTTGTGGAAGTGATTTTAGACGTTTTGGAGATAAAACTGCATCAAGTCAAGTGAGTTTTGTGCTTTCATACATACTGTATGTACATAAGACTAATATATACAACTCCTGTGATACTTTTCAGTGTTAAGGCTATTCAGATCTTGACCTTGTATGTTAATGAACAAAGTTTCAAAAGACTACATCAATCTATGGTGTTAGGATGAATATTCATGCTTTCCATGTTGTAAATTTAGATTAAAAAATAACAGGACTGAGAGACTCTAGAGCACATCTGTTGCTATGCAACAGCCCCCTGGAAAATCAATCAAGTTTGCAATTGCTTGACTTGCTGAATCTGTTAGGGATGGAAGCTCAAATATCCTAAGTAGCGGTAATGGGTGTTTTGCTGTCAGGGAAGATTAAGTAGGGAAACAGGATCATTTTCTTGACTTTTAATTGATGATTCAAGTCCCACAGGAAAATAAAGTGAGGAGGACATACTGTGCCAACAGGCAAGAGTCTGTTATGAGAGAAGAGCGAAGATCATTGTCCAAAAGCTACTTTACCCTGGTCTTGTCACGGATCCTAGCATTGTTCAGGAACAGATCAAAAGAAATCTGTAGCATCTACTTTGATTGTCAAGGCCTAACTGTTGTCCCCATCATGTTTTGTGGGAGCAAGCCTGGGCTAGGACACCATTACCTTCCATGTAAAAAGGTTGGATGCTCACTGTGATCAACAGAAAAGTACTGTAATTATGCAGAAGATATAAACCCTTGAATTTTGTAGGAGCTACGGTTCCTAAACAGTTTTGACATTTCTAATAGCATAATGTAAAAATTCAATAGGTGTTATCTGCTGCTCCCGCAGCCACGGTGAGGCATTATGACTAAGTCTCTCAGCAAGGAGACCTTCATCCTGTGAGAGAACAGACTATCGTTAGCCATTTAATAATATTAATGTGTGCACATTTAAGCAATGCTTCAAACCATCTGTGTAAATTGACATTGGCACAGCTGGAAAGCATTTGGAAATCAAAATTAAATTGATTTTTGCCCCCACTCACACGTTTACAGGTGATCACAGCAGATAAATGTCCGGCAGTAGCTTTCAGTCTGAATAGGTGTCTCACTGAGGCTGTTTTCAGTCATCCTCAATGTATGCAACAGTACAAAAGACGTCCACTCACAAATCGGAAACAGAGAAGATCACAAAACCAGATCCAAAGCTTAAAATTATCTACAAAACAGCCCTTTGTTATGTAATGTTTTAACAAATCTTGAGAACATTAGTTAATGGATTTGTGTGCCTTACGTCTATACCACAAACTGGGAAAACAGACTGAAGATAAACACTTTATTTAACAGTACAATAATAATTACTTAAAAAAAATAAAAAGCCATAAAATACAATGTGTAAAGTGATTCTCCAAGTGGTTTCAGTTATACACAGTTACAATATAAAAAGGGTTATGATTTTGCCCAGATGCTTTCACTTTCAGCATGTTCTCCTAGCATCTGTCAGTTTCTAACGAACAACACAGTGTTCTATAGAGTTCTCCTGCTTAAAGGAATGTGGAGGAGACTGAAAGAAAGAGTAAAAAAAAATATATATCCATTCAAAATGGAAATGTCACATAGAGGACAGAAATCAACAAGGACAGCTGGCAGAACATTAGGGCAGTGTGATCTTTGGGTTCCAATTTTCAGCGTTAGTAGCATTCCTACATGTCTCCATGATCCATGATTACCTAAGACATCGCATCCTGAAGGCTGATGGGCATACAAAGGCCATCGGCCAAGCAGGGGCTCAGTCGGTTCTTTTAATTGCAAACTGAAGGGTTGCTCTCTCGTTTGCCATGAAACATATCTAGGGCTTAGTGAGCAAAACTTTTTTTTTTTAACAAAACATCACACAATTACAGCGACTCCTGTATTCCATTGTTCTATTACAGCTTATGGATTGCCACTGAGCTGAAAGTCACCACAGCGCCGTCAATGAAAGGCAGTCCATGGTTTTAATACAATAATGGGATTCTTTAAATCTTCATATTCATTTTAGAGGACTTTGTTGCATTTCAATATGCAACATGAAGTCATTAAAACATGATTTAAAAGAAAAATAAAATAATTCAACCACTATTCTCAGTTATTTCTTAACGAATGTAAAACACTCTGCAAACACCCAATCCAGATAAACAATTTGACCATCCGTCACTAGAAAGTGTGGAATAAATTAAGGAAGTTCTCAGGAACCAATTTACTCTCAGGTCACAAGTTGTCCATTCCATGCTTTCTTTAAAACAAAAATACAGAAGAAACAAAACACAGTATCTTAGGTCTGCAATTCTGGTATCATGAACATAAAAAGCTTGGTCACCTTTTGTATTATGCAGACATTGCCCTTGAGGCACTGCTAGAGAGGATGGCTAACAAGCAGGAATGAAATGCAGCTGAAAATGACAAATTCTGCTTGGCTAGAATTGTCAGGCTGAGCCATACTAAGAACTTGCAGACTGATGGTTATGCCATTCCATGTCCATTCCTCCTGTCCTCCCTGTTTAAATCAAAATAATCAGGAGGAAAAAAAATTAAACAATCCCTTTTATCCCACATTACTATCAATTCAGTTTGATTTGATGAAGAGCGTCAGTAGGGAGAATAAATACAAGCTCAATTCCCTTGATGAGAAGGTATTCATTTGAATTAGGGAATAACCATTTTGTTATCTAACAATTTAAAATCCAGAACAGTCAGGAGTTGACAATATTTTAAAGTCTAGTTCATCTTTAAACTGTCAGTTCAATTTCACTGAGAAACAGTTTTAATTTCTTATACAGGTTGATTGTGGGTTTTACTAAGATTTCATATTGCTCTGATAAACCAAACTAATATGAAACCAAAAATCTACTTAATTGAACTAGAACATCTTGAGCAACGTGTTGGCAAAAAAATATAGAAATGGGTTTACACAAATCAGTTCAACTCTTCTGGCAAAGCTGAGTAAGATCCTTAAAATTAGATTCTTCAAAATGTCTGCTTTTATTTCAAATCCCTCCATTTGACCACAAGATGAAAGAGGGACATGATCACAACAGAGAAGGTAGCAGAACTGATACCTTTGAGGTCAGAGCACTTCTTAAACTCAAATCTGAGAATATAAAAACCTGAATAAGTGCTCAACATCTTCAACATTTCAATACAAACATTGCACAACGATTATGCAAGTCAAAAGGACACTGAAAAAAATATATATACAGACAGGAAAAAAAGCTTATGAACGGCAAATTCTCAAGCTTTTTTTAAAGGGGAAAATTCCAGTGTGCAGTTAGAATAAAACTGCTTAGTTGAATCCTCTTATTGAAGAACATTCAGCAATATCTCAGAATAAAAAATAAATTGAGAAGTAAGTTACACAAGGTGCCAAAATTACCTTTGTACTATGGGGCTCAACCTTCAGATTCTCACAAGAAAAGACTGTTAAACACCTGGCAAGCCCTTGTAAGACCACATAAAAAGAGCGAGGAACTTGAGAGACAACTGGAACCGTTGGCTGTCAATTCTTTAGTGCTTCACTAAAAATATAAAACTACCCAACTTGTAATGACAAAAAGACAGCTACTGAATAAATTAAGACTTCCTAAACAAAACTGAACAGAAGCTACAGAATCATATCATCTTTACCTACTTCATGAATGCTCCAGTGACATATCCCTCACCAAGTGATTCATACATTTCATAAACAGAGGCCTGCTCATAAAAAATAAGCTGCAATCAATTGGAACTGTCATGGGCAGTTCATGCATTTTACCTCCTCCATATTTGGTGCTTAATGCTTAGTAATTCAACTGCATTGGCCGAGCTTCCTCATAATACCTGAAATCCTTTATAATCCAAACTGTTAATCAGTTTTTCACCCCTTTAAAATGTGTAGCACAAAAGCCAGTTAGTGATAATGGACTCCATTAATAATTAATTAGGAGGGCAACAGTGGGTTAATGTAGGTTTTTTTCACTGGTTTGAAGCAATGCAAAACTGAAACAATTAAAAGAGTTACAGATACAGATGAAAGGGGGTCTTGCTGCCCATCTATCGGTACCTGTATGTGCTGCTTTCTCAGATACAGCAGGAACAAATATTGACAACCACCATAACCCTATGCCTAGAGCTGGGAACAGCAACAGTCATGTTTCTTCATAAACGTTTTCCAAGAAGCCAAAGATGGTTTCCTGGTTTTGCACTGTACTGAGAAAGCAGTCTCATCTAGATTATAAGGGTCCTTAAATTGAAGTGCCTTCTACTTTTGAAGTCATCACACCTTTGTCCTGTCTCTCTTGACAGTTTAGTACATTCTGGATAAGGCATGATTCTATGAAAACTAGAAACTACCTTGACCTGCCAGCTACTTCTCAGATCTTGAGATGTAGCACACAAAGGTTCATTTTTCCCTAAACCAGATAAAAGTAGTATCTGTGAGGGGATGCTGAGCCCAAGCACCAGGTGGACTGAAAGGGATACGAAGCTGAAGATATTCCTGTTGTTTCCAATGAAGAAAACTACCCAGGCCCTAAAATAAATTATCTGAAATAACTTCCATTTGAACAACAAATGAAAAGAAATGACATAATACTAAAAATGGATACTTCCTTTCCAACACTTCAAATAAGACCAAACATAAATGTAAATCTGTTTGTGCCATCTTGTCCCAGAATGGATTCCGATATGTTGTATTGTGCAAATGTTATTCTATTTATAATGTTTTTGTGCTTTCCAAGTATTATATGTAACATGTTATGGTGACAATTTGTAATGTTGTGCTTAGTGCTTTGTAAGTCCACCTGTTTTTCTGTGTGATTGCCTCCATCTTATTTTATACTTAATCTTACACTTAACTTGCTGTACAGTATCCCACTAGGATCAAGTGAAAGGTTTATTCCATGCTGAAAAGAGAAGAAAGGAAACAATGTTTTGGCTGTGGAGCCTTCTTCGGGTGTGTGTCTACTTGAACTACTTATCCCACTAGGATGTCTGGGCTGTTAAGACGCCTCTTTCTTCTTTCAAACTCCAGGTACTTCCACTGGCCTCAACCACATTCACTCCAGCTCTTTTAGAATCCCAGTTTCCACTCTGCACTTTAAACAGCTTTTCACCACATCTGACACCATTATTCTGCTATTCTGTTTAAAGCACATTTATACATTTAATGAAATTACCCAAACTTCTGCACAGTACTATAAAATTGATAACCCCGTCAAGGGTGAAAAATAAAAAGACAACCATAATATCTATGTATTTTTTCATCTTTCAAGCATAGGCCAAATTACTTCAAGTGTCATTTTACTGATTGACATGTTCTAGCTAACCTCCTTACACGATTAAAAACAATTGTGAAGTTATCATCAAGTCCTGCAGAAACAGGTGCTGCAGCATGAATGAATGATCTGTGACTAATAGCAGCCAGCCTGCAAACACCCCCTGACTGTCCACAGGCAGAACCAATTCTAAGAGGACCAAATAAGTAGGCTAGCAATCCACGTCTGTGGCTGAGCACTGACCAGGTTTTAGGTGTAAGTCATGGACTCAGAATTACATCATAAGGGGTCAAAAACAAACTACGAGTTACGCTTTAGAAAGAAAACCTCCTGACACCACTAGAAGCTGCAAGACTTTTATAAAAGCAGTAATATCAGAAACATTACTGCAACAACTCCACAGTGGCTCTGAATGCTTTCTTTGGGCTTTGTAGACATTGCTCTGCATGTAAACCACTTATTTACAACTGGAAAATTCACATGGCTTGTATTCCTGGGGCCACAGCAGAAATGCTCAGCTACAGCTCATAGGGGCTAGTTCCCATCAACGTTTCCCTACACTAGCAGAGCTCAAGTGCATGCTTACAAAAATATTAGCAAAAATGGCAGCCGCACCAGTTGTTTACAGCTTTCACTGCTGGGGTGAGTGAACAAAATCGAAATTATTCTGTAAGGCTGGAGACGTCTCAGTTACAGGACACTGAGAACTGCAGCTAACTTTCAATTTGTCCTTGGTAAACAGAGCAGAATTACTGCTGTACACCCCTTCTTCCAACCTGGCGTTGCAGTGTTTCCACCTGATGGATGGATGTATTGACATCACTGTGCACAAAGGAAAAATCAAATAAAACGGCATTGAGAATTACAGAAAAAAAAAATTTATTTTGCACAGTACTGTCCTGTTTCCATCCGCCACCCAGGCTGAGTGATCTGATTTCAACTCCCAGAACTGTTTGCTGGCTTTCAGAGAATCCCCTATGCTAAAAAAAGTTTTGAATACAATACAGACCTGCTGGCAATCAATTTTTTTTAAAGATGTGCTCACAAGAGAAAACAAAAGTAAGTCCTGCCAGTAATCAATACAGCATGTGGTGAAAACTAGTGACATGCTGTACCATGTTCAACTTACAGACTGAGAAACACAATTCATGGTCAGTGTTGATACAAAAGCACTCTAATGTTCTTCAAAAATAGGATCCAGACTGTTTTAAGATCATTGTCAGTGGCTAGTGGAAATAAGGAGTGCTTGAAAGCACCAAAGCAGCTAAGGTAGCAAAACCAAAGCAGAGCTTTCCAACCAAGATTTTCTTTAATATAAAAAATCCCTTTCAGAGAATTCCCGCTGAAACAGGAATGGATTAAATCCAATTTAGAATCTGCACACTATTTGTAATTGACACACACCGTAATGGTTGCTAACTCAGTTTCCATCAGGGCTTTGACCTTCTGCCAAAATAAAACCTACCATCTTATCACTGGGCTTTGCAATTTGGTAATCTAAACATTTTCATTCAACTATATTAATTGCCTAAGAAAAACATAATTCTAATTATGAAATCATGGTAAGATCTAATGTCTAAATTAGTGTGACATGAATGTTTTCGATCCTTTTGCATATGATAAGTTATTAAAAAGAGGGCTGCAGCTAGCTAGCCTCTTGTAGTAAGGATTCTTGACATCTCTCACACGTCCATAGCAAAAGTGGAGAGGCAAAGATGGAAGCGACTATTTCTAAGGGGCAATTATAAGAAATAATACAAAACTTACGGGAGACCTTCCCTACGGAGAGAACCAACATCCAGCACTTCAGGCCAAATACCTCCCATTGTCAGTGTAGTTAAAACCCAGGTTGCTTTCCTCATCAGATGCAGGGAAATTGACAGGGAAATTGGAATGTCAAAATTCCTAAATATTCCTCCTATTTAAAGCAATTATTTCTTCTGCAGGGTGTCCTAAGACATTCAACAAGTTTTTCTTGCAGATCAGCACCATTTGTCTTTGTTGTAAGTTTTAAGTAAAAAAGCTTATTAGAAAAAGAAGAATGGGATGTATAATATCCAAATTGTTAAATGTCCAATTTACAGTCTCCTGATTGACCGTGTTAACACTGATCTATAATATTTCTACCTGCAGGTGAAGAGGTAGATTTCCTATTAATTAAGAACTGACATCCCAATGTTTACTACAGCACTTAGCTTTACAAACTTCCATAAATGCTAAAAGAAACACTCAAAATATAAACATGCCTAAGAGCTAAAACTCTAACCTCTATCTTCTAAGGAATCTGAGGCAATACATTTCAACAGTGACATACCAGAATGACACCTAACTGAGTAAAGAGTCAAGGCACAATTGCACTAAGGCTATTGGAAGGGCTGAAATTCATAGTTTTCAGATTAAGCAGCAGGAATCAACTCTGATATTATAACCAGGTTTTACACTGTAACAATGGAGAGCCCAAATCAGTTCAAAGAAATATTCTTGGTTTCAGTCTTTTTTTTTTTTTTAAAGAAAACCCGCTTTTAAACTTGTACATTTAACCTATCACTGCAAATTAAGGACACAAATAAAAAACATAAATAAACCTAATAAATAATTCTACATCAGACTTACTAATATCCAGAGCTAAGTGATTTTCCTTTAATTAAAATACATTTCAGCTTAAGAAATCTCAGAGAGGGATTATTTACAGCTCTTACAGCAATTTCATATGACAGCATGTCTACTAACACAAAATAAAGAGCTAAATTTAAAAAGCATTGTGCATGATGTCTGCCTGGGCCAAGCATCTTATCATTCATGGTGCCTTAACTTTTTTCAGGCAGTATTCAAAATCCAAGGACTTAATATATCAATTTTAACAACTGATGTTTGGGCAGCATATATTCCCTTCTTTTCAGTTCATTTCAAAACTGGGAACAAAATCCACCACCCACCCAAAGGAAATGTACCACCAATTTATTTTTGGAAAAGTTATCATTCAGGAAAGTCGACTTCTCCTAAGGCTGGAGACAATTCCAAAAGCCACGTTCGCCCTGTTCGAGTAGCCAGCCGTGAAGGGAAAAAGTCTGAATTAAGGTCTGTAGGTGTTTGCATTCAACCAAACCCTCGCAACCCAACCTAAGAACATTCTTTCTATACTGTCAAATTCATTGGCAGCCACTGGAGAGGACTTCGCCTGCAGACTGTCACAGAGATGGAGTTTATCTGAGAAAGAGACAGAGGAAATTACTTGTTAAATAGGCAGAAGACGAAAGGATTTCTCCGCAAGCTAAAACGAAGAAAAGCAGACACGGCAAGGTTCAATGGCAGAACCATGATGGTAGCTTAGAAATAACAAAAAAGTAATTTTTCAAAAGCTTCTGCAGCAGACAAATCAGCCTGTCACCCGTTGAGCACTTCCAAGCTGCCTGCCCGATAATGGTACTCATTCAGAATTCAGGCTGAGAGCACTGACCAGCGTGAGTCCAGACAAGGCCCTAAGCAGACTGTAAGTAGAAGTCCCAAGGGGACAGAGCTCAGTTGGCCAATAGCTGGAGCTGAGTAGGCAGGAGGCATAAAAGGAGTCTCCTGAAGGCATCTGGTCTTGATCTCACTTGTGACAACCATTACGTTACGGTTCTCAGTTTAATCTTTTTCCCAACTTCACACACAGCTGTGACTGAGTACATTAGATAACATACTATCTACACGCCACCACCCCATGTATAGCTCTGCCCTTAGATGAGTATCTTCTATTTCAAATAAATCTATTTAATTGCATAAAGTACGATAGTCACTCTGTGATAAAATGCAAAATAAAGATGGGGAAGAGATAAAACTTAATAATGTGCCATTAGGTTTTTATTTAGATTGCGACTTAAACAATGCTACTGAAACACATTCAAAATAAAGGATAGCATGGAGAACATCACCTTCAGAATAATACATAACACCCTGCTCTCCATCACTAAGGATCCCAAAACACTTAGACATAAGAAAGAAACCTAGAACCATCTACCCTTAAATGCAATTCCCTGCTGGGTAATGTGCCAGCTGCCCCTCTTCACAGCAGATCAGGTGGAGAAGTGAGAAACTGCTTCACTAGATGAACTCAGGTAGATGATTACTGAGGCTAGACTGCATGAACCCCAGATAGAACTTCTAACTAAGATACCGCAGTTAACACCTGTAATCATAAGAACACTGCCATGGGGTCTTTAATGAACGAGGAGTGAGAAGCTCAGTTTAACACCTCATTCAAAGCACAGCACCTCCTGCAGCACAGTGTGCCAAGTACCTATATTGGGACAAAGGTTTAGAAATTCCACTCCAGAGGGAAGAGTGCCACCATCTCTGGTGGGCATCATCTCTCTTGTGCCAGTGTGAGGCTCACAGCAGTGAGGTGTGCCAATTCACAAAATCAATTCCAAATGGCAGACTGACAAGCCAAACCCAGTCGAAACGCTGCTGAGTTAATTTGGACAATTTGGAGAAACCAGGAAGTCAATTTTTTTTTTACTTGCAGGAGGGTTTCGCTGACCACAAATTTACAAATAAAGGAATAAATATCTACCTACAGTACCTATAGGATGAAGATCAAATAAAATGACTTCTAATATTTTTTTCTCTACCAAAGCTTTCAGCCTACCATGGAGACCACAGAATCTCATTTCATTACTGAACACTTGCTCTTCAGTGTCACTTTGGAAGATGTGGGATAGCATGCACTGAAATTCCCCAAACAGCAGCCACCGTTTTTCATCGTCTTTGTGGTGTGCTTTTCTGAGGTTATGAGTAAATATATTCCCTGTGATTCTATTAGCTGACCTTGCATAGCTTCTCCTTTGCTTGACTTCATCACCTGCTTTCCAGTCTGTTCACAGAAGCAGACCCTTTGAAGGATTTGTTCTGGTGAGGGAAAAAAAAAAAGATGCAGTTAAAAGCCACATCAAATGGATCTCGTCTCGGCAAGCATGATGTCTTTCCTGCTATTTAACATGTATTTGGCAAACAATCTAAACTACTTTAAGCCTAAAAAAATACTGTAGCATTAGGTTTAGTTGTTGAATTTAGGAGTGCAGAATAAATTGCATCATGCTGGAATTCCGATCAGGCAACATTTTGTCCACCTGTTATAATGCAATCTGCATGCCGAATCAGGCTTTCCTGTTGCGAAACTGCACTCGTTAGAAAAGAGTGCGTGGTGCACTTGGCTAATTTAGAAGGTCCCACAAGCAAATCAATGATAATTATCAAGGTACCGGAACACAAGCTTTGTTTTAACTCAAAGCAAAAAAAAAAGTTTCACAAACGCTCTACTAGGTTAGGAAATGAAGTGAAAGAAACATCAACACTAAAATGACTTTCAGAATAGCATTTTCAGAATTTTTATTGTTTTCAGAAAAGCTAAATAAAAGCTCTTCAAAGTACACTTAAGGAACATACATACAAATGTGTACACATTTGCACTGAAAATTCACACCAAAGTTCCAAAGGAGTTCACAATTTCATAATTATTCAAGATAATTGCTATAATGTAGAGTTAAACAGGTGCCTTGTTACATATGAAGAGATTAATAAAAATGGTCAAAATCTAGCACTGAAAAAACACATCAGACAGGGCTCTCAAAATACCAACAAGAAAGAATTTCAAGAGACTCAAGAAAATGGTGCAACATTTTAATCTACAGATCCAATTTTCTGCAACAGTAAAAATAATGACTGATTACATCATGGAAAAAAATCTGGGTTGGGCTGATATAGCTGTCTAACCTCAAACAGAGATAGTCTTTAAGATACTCCGAAGACAAAAAGCAAACAGTAATATTTCCACTTCTGCACTCTGGCCCTCCCCCCATATTGTTAATAAGCACCTTAAGGACTGTGTTTCTTGGACAGTTTAAGCAATCAGTCACAGAGATGGAACCACAAATTTCACTATAATAATGTGGCTAATTGTACAATATCAGTAATGGAAAACCTGATAATTCACAAGTGGTACTGATATTACCTTGTGCTTTGTACATTTCATTGAGAAGTTTTCTTCGTTGAGAACACAATCTGGGAAGACACGAAAAAAAAAAGGAAGAGAATTAGGAAACACTGGTGATGTTTCAGCACAGATTGCATCAGTGGAAGGCTGACCTTCTCACGCTGAAGAACACAAACCGGCATCAACTGAGCATGTCACCTTGGTAGGTCACAACAGCAGAGCAAAGGTATGACAGGAAACTCAGGTCTGACTTGCAAAAAGAAAAAAACAGGTTCAGTCTGTTTAAACTAGATCTGTACGCTTCCGCATCACAGGTGCAGGCTCAAACGTGTTTGCTGTACCTTTCTCAAACATTACTCAGTGCAGCTGTTAAGAGATCATGTCTTACATCAACTGCGAAGGTGTGTCCTCCTCAACTACATTTCCTGAGACTTATTAATCACCAGGCTTGTCTCAAGCATTTCAAACTTAAGGATCCTGGAAGTGCGGCTGTGCATGTGTATCAGAACCTTCTCCAGAACTAGACTTATACTGGATATCTATTTACATTTGAGCTGCACAAAAACGCTCTGTTTTGCTAAAGAGGAAGAACATTATTGACTACTCAATGAGCTCTCTAAGCAGAAAAAATGAAAAGAAATATTCAACTGGCAAGAGAGAAAAGCAGTTCCTCATCCAAGACACCCCACCTTAGCATGCCTGTTGGTGGTTTCTACAGAGCTGACCACCTAATTTACTTGATTGAGCTCATTTTAATTATTCAACAATTCTTCTTCTACCAAATCCTGTGTTTTTGGTTAAATATTGTAATTATCTATTTGAATACTTGTTTAATTACACAAATAATTAATGCAATGATGAATTAAGTAGCTTCCAGAATGAAAATGTGAAGACTGGAGTCATGAAAACCCCTGTCCTTCCCAATGCAAAACTGCTCTTCCATTGAAACGGTCCCCTTTTCCTGAATGAACACTGAAAAACAAACACAGGAGCAAAACGTTGCATGCCTTTGCTGTTCATTCATCTCTTTTGCCCACCACACTTACCTGACTGAGCTGCACAAGTGTAGTGATATTTGCTCGGACACCCTTTGAAGAAGCAGCCCAAGGTGGCGCCTGTTCGATGGCATAAGGAACACACCTAAATAATGACAATTCAAACCATCTACCATTAGGAACAGTGGAAAGCAACACTCGACAACCAACAACTAAAGCAGCATTAATCACAAGATATATATGGTATATGACCAGATTCACTGGCCACTGTACACTGTAAAGCAAGGCCGGGATTAACCCACTCAGGGACACTGTTAGAATCCACTGTCACCTGGAGTACTTGTGCCAGTGTGACTTAAGAACAGTTTTAGTCTCCTTTTCAAATTACCCTCCAAGAACCAGATAACTTGGGAGTCCCACAGATGGGACTCATCAGCTTACCATTAAGTATTTCATCACACTCTCCCCATCTGAAATAGCCAATTGTGTTTTTTTCAACTGAATAAAACTGAGGAAGTGTAGGCAGACTCCTCTGACCTGCCCATGTTTGGGAAACACTCATTCTAAAACATCAGTCTGCACAGCCCCAGACAAGAACTGGAGAAGGGGCACGCACCACACCAATGGCTTGTGTGCCTCCTGGTGGCAGGGCTGACTGTGGCACTAAGAGCTGAGAGAGCCCTGCAGAGGGTTGTCAGCCTACCTTTGGTGGCGCTCCACCAGTTGTGTGCCCCACCTACCATGCATAACTCTGAAGGGACACCTTCATAAAATGTCATATGAGACAATAATAGGTTTTAAACAAGAATATACCGCCAGGCAAACAATTGACAAACTCAATAATTAAGGACACTGACAGACAAGAGACCAAGAACCACCTGGGAAATAGAAAATAGGCATTACATACTGGAGTAGACAGGTCATAGTAATCTCCACCCATTTATAAGACGTTCTTAGTTTGTGCTCATTTCTGGCCTCTTTTGATTTCTTTATAGGGAGAGATTGCCCCTTTGGGGAATAAAAACACATAAAAGCAACTTTTTGCATCATTGCAAAACTGTTCTAATAGTGATTCAAACCTTTTTGTTCTGAATTAAGCACTTACAAAACCGCAACTATAAATGTAACCAAGTCTTACGAGAAGATAGACAAACTAGGGGATATTACAAATATTATATTAGAGGTTAATGTGAAATAATCACTTATTACAAAAGGACAGTTAACTATAAAACACAAAACGTTACTAAACCAGTATTGAAAAAATATCGTACAGTTCATTTCACCTTACACATCAGATGGCAACCTGTACCTTACCTTAATGCACAACATCTTTACTACTACTTTCTTGGGCCAAGTCAGTAAAAGTGGATTAACTCAGGTTTAAAATAAAAGTAACAAAAGAGAACAGTGATTTTTTTTAAATATGGGACTCCATATTTAACTTAAAAATTTTTGTTTTCAGAAAAGGCTGTAAACTACAATACAGCATCTGTTCCTGCATCCACATAAGGGCCGGCATTATATATCTTGGTGATATACACACAGTACTCTTCTTAATAAACTGTGTAATACAGCTTTAATTTAGATAAGCAATAAAATCGTTCTTTTTGGTTAGGGGAAAGCCTTATACAAAGCAAAGGGATGTTTTTTTTAATCAACGCTGGATTAAGCAAACATTTGATCACTCTATTGGTAGCTCATGCAGCTATGTAGTTCTGCAACATGAACAACAGATTGCATTGAGATAAAGCAAAGTACACAAAAGCCAAGCAGAAAGTGATTCTTGACACACATCCGAACATTGATGTCTCATTCATTTAACACCTTATAATGTGAATCAGGCGCCACTTCCTGTTCTAAGAGAAGTATTCAAGGTAGACATGAAATCTTCAAAGACTGAAAAGGAGGCTGGTTAAGTCTAAGGCATCTAAAAACACAGGCCTTAGGGTAATTCGTCATCTCTATTCTTTAAGCAGCAACTTAAGCAGTTGAATTAATAAAGAAAGTAGTTAAAGAAAAATTAGACTGAAGTTGCTGCAGTATGCTATCAAAGATTCCATTCCTAAAAAATAAAAAGGCCTTTTTGCTAACTGACTTTTTTCCCCTTTTATAAACCCTGAAGTGAACTGTAGTAAATGCTCACATGCAGCGCTCTGAAAAACCAGCTCAGAGTTAAAAGCATCTTGCCTTTTTTTGGCTAATGGGAAATTAAGCTTTGTTAGCTATGCAGAAAATGTCTTCCAGCAGCATTATTTTCATTAAAGAAAACACATATTAACACACGCTGGGAGTCAACAAAACAAAAACTATATTACTGACTATATGACTAATACATCTATGCAGATTCATTCCTAATAAGATTACATTTAGCTGGATTGTACACAGTAAGAACAAAGGTTACAAGTGAGAGTATGCTATTCAACAACATTTTCTCATTTGAATGTTATCACACTATTGAGCTGAGCATTTTCAAGATGGATCTTGACAGATCCCAGCATTGCTGGGCAGTTGTACACAGTCCACACTGCCTCTAAAGAACAAGAGGTTCTAACCTGGAAACTGTGACACAGAACACAAATACTGTGCAACAGGAGACTGTGTCCCTGTAATCTCTGTCCCTGGTACCTTTACACATGGTGTACTAATGTTTAATGGAGCCACAGTACAGTGGGCCTCCACTGTGGCTTCAGTAAATATGATAAAATGCAAGACAGTAACTTTCTGGCGTGAGCATTTCGTAAGAGTGAAAGAGCAGATGTGCTACCAAGGAGTACAAAACTAAAACAGCCCATCCATTTTTTTTACGTTACACAAATGGCTAAGAACACAATACACCCTTACCAGAACATGAACCTCAGATAAGGACAATAAGAAAACAAGGTCCATTAAGATCATTTAGAATGATCAAATGTTTTAAATTAACATAAGCAAAGCTTAGTCTTATTTCAGTCACAACTGGACCAGGCCAGACAAATTACAGATTTCTGAAAAGTGAACATTAGCAATCCCCCATAAGGCTCTGATTCACCATTCTAAAACACTGTCACTTTTCTTTCTGAGGAGGGGACATAACTAAAATGTGAGAGGGACCGCAAACTTTCAGAACAGCTAGCTGAGACATAAAGAGCATCAACAGCTGCAGCAATTTATGACTGCGACAGACATCACAAACCAGGACTGAAACAGAAAAATGTTACCAAATTATAAAGTGACTAACCGGGAAACTGAAATTAATTTTTACCCAGAAACCTGAAGAGCAAAATTCCTGTAACTGTGCACACAATTACACTTTCTCTCAGACTCAAACAATAATACTGAACCAAGACGTTTCATGTGCAGCATTTAATTTTGGATCACTTACCTCCCCACGTGCAAACCAACTCCATCTTCCTCAACCGATTTTCACATTGAAAAGCGACATGAAACCTGTCACCTACACTACGAGCGGATCTTACCGTTTCTTGCGCAAGCTTTGCAGCCTCTTCTAACCCATAGAGCTTTCCTTTCACCAGGTAGACGCCCGCGGCCCATATCCCACAGTCCTCGTGAAGCCAGTACTCGCGGGTGTCCAACGGGACCACAGGAGGGCTGTACCAGTCTTCGGCGCTGGAGTCCGTCTTTGGCTTTTTTGCCACTGGGCTGCGCACGCAGTCGCCGTCGCTAGCCCACCTGCGGCGCTTCGAGGACTGAGCCCCTCGGAGGAGCCTGGCGGTCGAGGATTCGGCAGCCTGGCTCCGCTTCCTTCCCCTGGCGCTGCACGAGGAGTCCGAGTCGCTGAGGTCGTCATCCTTGAGGCTCTGCAACCCGGTGCGGGGCTTTGGGGACGGTTTGAAGCCCTCGGGGTAGTAGGGTCCGTGCAGATCTCCCAGGTCCATCGTGTTGGCAGATTTGCCGCACAGGCAGCAGACCAGGTGGCTGCGCCACTTCCAGTCACTGTTCAAACGGCCCAAGAGCAGGCAAGAGGTGGTGGGAACAGCGCCAGAGATGAAAGCTGGGCCTGTCTGCGCTCTTCCTTTCTTAAGCCGCACTTTCTCCTCCTCGGGGTAGTTGATGACTGTGCACGTGGCATATTCTTTAAATTCCAGCCGTATATAAGGAGAGAAACTGTCCGTTTTCACGTCCCTTTTCTCCTCTTTATAGTTAACGTACTTCAGCTTGATCTCAGGCTCTTTTGGAGAAAACATGGAGGACTGCCCCATTTTGCGTTTCTTCCTCTTCCGCTTGGTGACACGCGTTTTCCTTGCAGAAGCCGTTTTCTTGCTGCCCGGTGAATTTTTAGGGAGCACTGGGGGATTCTTCTGACATGCCTTCAGCTTAGGCAAGGCTCTGAGGTTCTGTTTTTCGGGGGAGTGTGTCCGATCGAATTGACCCCTCCTTTCCCTCACCACTTTGGGCGTGTGGGCAGGGGACTCGCGTGAATTCACACCACTGCGCAGAGATATGGAGACATTTCTGTGTTTCTGATCTGAGGTAGACTTCTTGCTTTTGAGCCTGTCTGCACCAGCTTTGTCAGGACTGTCCTTCTGTGAGGCTGCTGCATTTAGACAGGGCTCTTCTTCTGGGCCAGGTAACTTCTCTTGGCCATCTTGGCTCGTGTCAGATTCCAAGACATCCTCATGTAAACTTACCTGGTCTTCCTGATGTGTTTCTGTGGTCAGAGGTTTTGAACCGGAATTTTTTTTAGTGGAATGGAAGTTAGCAGATGCTTTATGCCTCGATGGGGTAATGTTTTGCACAATCTCCTCCAACCTTCTTCCCCTCTGGGAACGAGGAGGAAGTTTTTTCCTCGCGAACAATCTCTCCTCGGCCAAGACGTTGCCATTCAGCAAGAACTCTCCAGATGTTTGCTGATTAACACACCCCCTTCCGTCGCTTTCAGAACTAATTTCTGACGGCTCACCGCAAAGGTTCGACAGCTCCCCAGGCAGCTCCGCTATACTGTCTGGCAGCGCCTGTACCCCATTAGCGATGGCCAGATCTTCAGTCACTTCACTTTTCTTGCTACATCTGTCCTGCGCAGCAGTCAAGCTCTCCACACAGGCTACAGTAGATTCAGTCTCAGCAGGATCAGCACTCAACTCCCCTTCTCCTACACTCTCCTCCACTGTGTCAGCAGCTCCGTCCACTGATGAATTCTCAAAGCTGGGAGAATTCAGCGTCTGGGGAAAGACAGTAATATCTTCCATCTTATCCTGAGAGGTAGCAGGGGACCAGTCTTCTTCTAAAGGACTATGGTATTCCCCATTTGCAGGACTACGCAACACATTTCTACAGCTCGGACTGTCTTGCGAAACTACAGGCTCTTCAGTCCTTGAAATCACAACTAACACCTCAGAGTTGCACAGGTTTTTCTCCCCCTTCATGTGCACTCCAGCTTGGATCTCTTCCACCTTTTCCTCACAGATCCCTACATCCGGTGACGCACTGTCAGTACCATTGTGCATGTGGCCACCCTCGTCTTTTTTCGGGGACAGCGTGCCCTCGGGGCAGCGGTCTCCAAGCTGTGGCTGGAGCTCCGCCACGTCCAACGGCCCCACGTCCATCCTCCCGTTCTGCCCACGCGCCAGCTCCGTGGGGGCAGCGCCCTTTCCACACTCATGCGCAGGAGTGTTTGTCGCCGCCCCGGTGGTCTGCTCTACCTGAGCTCCACCCGCCGGCCTCGCGCTGTTCTGCAGAACCTGGCATTCACCCGCCGCACAGAGGCGGCCGTCAGCCTCCCAGTCTTCCTTAGAGTCCGCCTCGCCCTGCGAGACCAGAGCCCCGGGTTCACACTTGGGAGAGAGACAGGAAAGCTTCTGGTGGACCGGAGGGCCGCGCAGCTGGGGAAGGGGCGACAGAGAATCGCGAGGGGTAAACACGTGAGACCGGCTCACGTACGACAGCGTGACCGTGGTGTTCGAAAAGGCATCGTCGGGCTGGATTTGATCGCTTGGGTGCGGCGCACGCTCGGAGCTGTTTTCCTGGAAGACCCCTTTGCTGCCTGAATTGATGCTGTACCAGCTGGGAGCACTGACCACGTGTAAGGCTTCCATTGGGCTGTTCTTCAACAGGCTGTCTTTGTGTTTCATCGTCAGGTCATAGACCGAGGAGATACTGCAGGGGGCCAGGTCTTGCTGAGGATGTAAACCATCTGACTGGCTGGAAGGAGGGGGGTCCATATCAGCTCTGAAACAAGATATACACATCTATAAACACAGACATACGGCACAAAAACATCTTCAGTGGCCAAAAACCTGATGTACACCTACTTTACAAATCTTGCATTAAAAAATATCATTTATACCCATTTGTCCCACAACTGTATAAAAGGTATAATTTTAAAAAGTCCTCTTTCATCACTAGTGCTCATAAATATGAAGCATTTAGCTAAATTACACAAGATACAGACAATTGTTGCCAGTGAATTTCTCTAAAACAATTAGAACATTGATTCAATTTTTTTTGACAAAACTGAAATCCTGGGCTTAGAGGTTAGCTCTAGAAAACAGTGTTATTACTTTTTTTTAAATTAAGAACCTGGAAGAAGTTCCCAGGATGATTACAACTGCAGAGTACTACAGCTCAGGCATTTAATGAACGGGTAGGTAGTAGGGAGACAAGGAGGAAGATTAATCAACAAAGCGCCAGAAAAATTACTTACAACGAGGTATCCTACAAACCGTGGTTATTTCTGAAATATCACACTCGATTCGAGCTTATGAATAATTAAACGTTTTGTTCTTGTGGAACAGGCCTACATAACATGTCCCGGTGCAGCTATTACAAAGAAACAGCAATATATCCGACAAAAATACGCGACAGGAATCTCACTACGAATCTGAATAAAATCTCTCATCAAAGGCCTATTATGCTATTCTGTTACGGAAATCCAGATAATACTTCGGTTAAAAACTACGATTAATAGACATAGAACAGTATATGCGGTCACGCTCATCACACAAAAGCGACTACTTCTCTCCAGTTCAGACGAGCTGTGTCACACTTCTCAGGGGAACATCAACAAAATAGTAATTATCTTAAAAAGGGAAGCACATCCGTCTGATACCTTCTTATCCTACTTGAAGTAAACGTTAAAAAGACGGAGGGAGACACGTTCGCAGTTAAATAACTGGCGGTAGTACAGCATCATGAGCTATCTGCCCTAGTAAAGCCGTGACGAACCTAGTGGGTCGTGTTTTAATTCTTGACAATAAAAATAAAGACGTAGCAGACACCTCTCTGTTGCACCCGGCGCGGCTGCCGGACACTCGGGCTGCTGACAGCGGCGTGGGAACAGTGTGGGGCTGTTTAAAAACCCAGCATCAGTCCCGGCTCTTCAGCGGTAGGGCTTCCTGGACAAAGTGTGCGCTAGGTTCAAAAGCGGCCAGGCGACCCCGAATTCTGACATGGAGATATACAAACTGTTGGGAACACCGCGGACTTCACGGAGGCAGGACGGAGACCTAAACGCTTCTGTCTGCGCCTTATCGCCGGTCTGTCGCGAGCTAGGCCAGGGCTACACTAGGCCCTCCGCGGCTGAAACAAAAGAAGCAGACAGAGCGTGTGTTGTCTGAACGAGAAACTTACCGAAACGATAAGGGGAGAGAGAGAGGGGGAGACAGAACAGGGGAGAGGAGGGGGGTGGGGGGTTAAAACGTACAATTTAAACAGGATTCAGCGGCAGCCCACATCTCGCTCCCGGTTCTCTCTCTTCCTGACGATCCGCACACCGCAGCTCTTGGATCGCAAGATCTCTGTGCTCCGGAAAAAGAGAAAAAAAGATGAGGGGGAAAAAGCCGTACTTCTGTAAAAAAAAAAAAACAGATTGCATACAACCCCCCCTTCGCGTGAGCTGCTGCACTCCGAGCACAGTCAGCTGGTGTAGCCACAGCGGGGCATGATGGGATAGACACACAAAGAGGGGTGGGATCTGAGCGAAACGAGGTTTTATTAATTTAGTGTGGATGTTCCTTGATGCTTACTACAGTCATGCATTCGGATGGATCAGATACAAATGTAACAAAAATACACATAGCTGTTGAACATATCAGTTGTTTAGTGTCACGTCTGTTCAGTATTTAAGGCATTAAACATGCTGTATTATATGTCACGGTTCGGTTACATTTCCTCATGGATACATACTGTAGGATATATAACCCACTAAGAACAAGTCATTTTGTAAATGAGACATTTAGCCTCGTTCCCCAGTCTTTTTAATAATTGTAGATCTTATAAACGACTGTGAACGCTAGACGGGCTGGTCAGTACTGGGATGGAAGATCTCCAAGGAAAGGCTGCTGCAAATGTTGCCAGTGGATGGATCTCTTCTCCTTTGATCAAAATACAAGTGCCTTAATATTGGCTCTAGGAAGTGCCAAAAAAGGTCCCATGATATTTTGAAAGATTATTTCAAGTTATTGGTGTACACCAATACAACTGGTGATGTAATTTCTTACTTCTTCACCTGATCTTTTTTGTTGTGTGGCTGCTTGTGTATATCACCTGCCACACATCTACCGGGTGGGTACTGCATTAAGAGAAAAGTGAAGGGAATCTCCACCTATATGTAAAGTGCTCTGTGATCCCTTGGGATAATCATAATAATTGCTTACACTTACTGTATATAGCATGTTTCTGGACACTCCACCCAAAGCTCTTTACAGGTAATGGGGACTCCCCTCCACCACCACCAATGTGCAACATCCACCTTGATGATGCCATGTCATACCAGTACGCTCTACTACAGTATCAATAGAGAGGAAAACAGAGTAATGAAGACAATTCAGAGATGGGGGTTATTAGGAGGCCGTGATTGGTGAAGGCCAGGGGGGGAATTTGGCCAGGACACCAGAGTGACACCTCAACTATTTTTGAGAAACACCCTGGAATTTTAATAACCACAGTGAGTCAGGACCTCGGTTCTAAGTCTCTTCCAAAGGACGGCACAGTTTTTGTAGTGCAGTGTCCCCATCACTATACAAGGCCATTAGGAAACACACAGACCGCAGGGTGAGCGCTCCCTACTGGTTCCACTAGGACTTCTTCTAGCAGCAACCTTAGTTTCTCTCAGGAGGCCTCCTATCCAGGTACTGGCCAGGCTCACTCCTAGTTAGCAGTGTGAGTGTGTTACCAGTTATGTGTTGCAGGGTGATGTAGCTGCTGGTGAAATGTGTGGTGCAAAACATCTAAACTTTCTATTGCCATATGATCTTTAACAACTGATTAGTCAGGATCAACGTCTCATCCATTGGTTTATCACATCACCTATAGGATAGTGTCGCTTCATCTACCACCACAGTGGGACATTGGTTTGAATTCTGTTCCAGAGGGAGGAGTTCCACCCATCAATCCACTAAAACCACTTACAGCAACAACATGGGCTTCTGCAGAGGTCCTCCATTCCAGTACTGACCAGCCCCAAGCCTTGCTGAGCTTCTAAGATCCGTACTCTTACTGCCAAGGGAATACATTATATTACAGATCATATAAAAATAAACATTCTGTGCATCTGTTCCCAGTAGCGGCTATGATTTAATCCTAGCAGGGGCAGAGCAGAGCTGCACTTGTCATGGCTACTGTGCAGAATTCTCCTGCGGCGCTGTTCACTGCTGTTTAGGGAGTGGCACTGTGTGTGCTGATCCTGTGAGTAAGTGTGATCGAATTCCAGCAGGCGCAGGGAGAGCTGCCCATCTGAAACAATGACTGCATTTTTAACACGGTTCCCTCTTCCAGTCACATACAGGCAAAGTCAGATTCAGGCATTGTATACCCTGTGAAATGAAATGACAAACACGGACACAGGAGCAAGGACATTAAGTAGGCAAAGTCAAGGACTTTGCAGACACTTGGCAAATTGAAGTTGATTGAGCAAATTAAAAAAGAATTAGATAAAATTTAAGACTGGGCAAATACCTAGCAAATGCCATTTAATATAGACAAGTGACATGAAAGTAGAAAAACACTGTGTAAACTCTATATACTAATTGAGAACCGCTGAGTTAGAAGGGCTTAATTGTGAAAAGGTCTTGGGCGTTTATGTTGACACATCATTTACAGCTTCCAGACAATGTATGATGGCAATAAAAAAGGCAAACTAAATGTCAGGCTTTACAGTGAGTATAAGTATAGACTCTACTTAGGCCTCATTTAGATTACTTTGCAAACATCTATCCATCCGTTGGCTCCATCCAATTCAGGGATGCGGGGGAGCCGGAGCCTATCTTGGCAAACAAAAGATGCAAGGCAGGATACACCCTGGATGGGACACCAGTCCATTGCAGGGTACACACAGACACAGAGACACGCATATTCCCATCAGTATTAACCTATCAGTAAAGTTTGATTGTGGGAGGAAACTAGAGCACCCGGAGGGAATCCAAACAGACTGAGAACATAAACACCAGGTCCATAATTGAAGCCAGCCCGGTGATACAGCAATGCTAACCACTGTGCCACAGCTCCTCCCTACCGTGTTTACCATGTTCCAAAAAAAGATACTTCTGTTCTGTAATCACTCCGGAGTAGAGAAACAGCATCCATCCGGTGAATGTCCTGCACTGACAGGCTGAAAGAAGTGAACATTTTTAGTCTTGAACAGATAAGATTACAATGGGACCTGATGCAGGTATTCAAAATTCTCAAAGGCGTTGAAAATGTCAGCCCAGGGGATTTCTTCAGAATCACCAGTGAAACACAAACCAGAGGACAGTAGTTGAAACTACGTGGAAGTGTGGAATGGACATACGAGGCACTTTTTTACCCAAAGGATTGTGAGAGTATTGACGTTACCCAGCTATGTGACTGAGGCCTTTGTATGAATACTTTGGCCTCATGCAAGAAATGGCTGGATGAGATCATTGGATCAATTAACTGCTACCTACTGAATGGGCTGCCTGAGCCAAATGTCCTGTCCTTTGTAACCTCTCTCCTGTTTTTATGTTTTTATTGCCTATGTCATAATAGCGGAGTGTGAGTAATTTAAATCCATGTTAATGAGGTAGTCCTGCATGATGTTAAAGAGAGACACAGAGAATGAACCTTTAAAATATTTTATCTTCTTAGTAAAACCCAAGTTGAGATGGTCACAGAGAGCAGCTTCATACCTGTTGCCTTTGAACACATTTCCCAGGGAGCAGGTGTACTGGAGCCTTACTGTGTATCATCCATAATGCAGTTTACACCATGTCAGGGTTGTGGCGAGCTGGAACAACACCATGGAAAGGATGTCAGTCCATTGTAGCACACACATACTGTACTCATCAGATATCAGGCAATGTAGCCAAGCCAGCATGCCTCTGGGACGTGGGAAGAAACAAGTGCATCCAGGAAAGAACATGCAATCTCCGTACAGAAGGTGTCCAGAGTCAAACCCTTGACCCAGGAGTAAGAAAGCTGTGCTAACTAACATGTTGCCATGCCTCTACACACTATAGTCAACCAAAGTTAATTGCAACGATTAATTTAGGATACATAAAATTAGCAGTACATTCCAAAACCCTCTTTAAACAAAATCAGTTTATAAGGGTGAATTATGCTTAAATCATTCCTTTTTTCCAAGGACCTTTCAACGGAACAGAAAAATCTGCATTGCAGCTGGTAGCATTGTTTTTTTATTGTCTAAGGGCCTTAATTTTCTGCTTCAAAGAATTCAAATTGCAAAACACTTGAAAGAAATATCTGAACTTCCTTGTTACACTGAGAAAGACTGCAGGTTAAATGATACCACACCAGTTCCAGAGCATATTCATTCTTTATTATTTATTATGTTAGTAGAAGGCCGTGAGAGGGATTCCTCTAGGACTGGCTCACAGCTGGCAAGGTGCAGCTGGTGTTGTGTGGTTTTAGTAGGGATTGGACATACCTGGCTTTCACTGCAACAACAGCTGCTGGGACACTTCTTCATCACTTCTAGTGGCACACTGGGTTTGTGCAATATATTTCAATTATTTCAATACTTGCATCCCATCAGAATCAGAATCAAGGCTAAGGAGCTTTGTTTCTTTGAGCTTGAGTCTCTTCAATCTTGAGCAGATTACAAGATGTAGTCTTGGGGGCAGGGGGAGGGTGTAAAAAGTAGTTTTGCTCATTTCCAATTAAAAGCAAAGGAAACTACCTCTGGCTTCATCCTAATTGTGTCCCCCGTTTCCAGGCTTCAAGCCATGTTTTGTGCAGGCTCTGGCCTGGTGCTGTACAGTACCTCAACCAAAAATATTCTGCAAAAATAAAACCCCTGTAAAATAGGGTAACTTTCTTGTTTTCAGTTCATCAACAAAATGTAAGTGTTAATGTTTGAGAAAATAAAGTCAAATCGAAATATGTCTCTTTTGTGGGCGTTCCTAAAGATATTCTATTACAAGGTGGCACAGCAATTACCAATCTAAATAATAGTGGAAAAAAACAACAGACAACATTTTTTTGGCCACTCTTTGACCACAAAGCCTTGAGATGCCTGAAGGGTGAGAAGGGCAGAAACAGCACTTCTAAAAACTAGTTTAAAACTGGGATGAATCATAATGCAGAGAGGGAGATGTAATAATGAAAGCAATGTGCAGCAGCACAGGTTTTGTTTTCACGTGGCACCTAAACCCAGGCTTCCAATGTGTGGGCAGCTGATGCCAGGACTCTCGAAAAAATACTGCAATTTCACACTCCGAAATAGAGGCTGTCATCTGCCTAGGGGCCGTTAGTATATTAGGTCCCTGGAATAGCTGAGCTCTCCACTAGTGAAATGATTGCCATCATTTTTTATAAATGCACAGAAAAGAGTTGTGTTCTCGACTGATAAGAGGAAAGAGAAAAATAAATGAATGGGCTAAAGGCTCTTCAGTTGTCAAGCCTGGAAGTATAATGCTATTCAATGCAATGACTCACCTTTGAAAAACAATTGTGGCTTTTCCAGTCCAGCATGGCACAATAGCTTTTCCCTGTGAGTGCCCAGGATACCCTGAAGAGCCCAGCACGTGAGCTGGCATGAAAAGCCTGGTGATGCATGTTACTGGTTGTCTTCTGCCTTCGGTATGAAGCAGTGCGGTGGCAGGCTAGTGGGAACTTCTAGGGCTCAGCTCTTGTGCAATCCAGCTACTCAGCACTGTATCTGCATTATCAGCTTCATAAATACGCATGAACGGTTACTAACAAGAGGAGGCCTATTGAGCTAATTTGGTAGTTATGCAGTTAATCGATACTAGAATCCCATACGGTTGCTTCTTGAAAAAAAAACTGTGTATCAGCCTCACCAGCATAGCTGCGTGACTTGTTCTATGCTCCCACAACTCTTTGTGTAAAGGAGATGTTTCTCCTGCACTTGGCTTTAACTGCACTTTTATGTAGTTTACCTGGCTTCCACATAGCAAACAGTTCGACACATGATGCAGAAGCATTTGGAAAAGAAATTGGATGTCTCCATAAATACTGACCCCTTCAAAACCTTAAGTCTGTCTGTCTTGAGGTAGGATGACTTGTCCACAAGTCCTATTCTCACGACTCCTATCTTTAGTTTTGTTGGACAGGCTATCAAAATGCAATTACTAAATGTTTGGCCCAACAGCTGTTCTTCATAATGGACTTCGTGGTATTCTGATCTGACTGATCTGAGAGCAACATACCTGCAATGACTCACAGATTAATCCACCCAGATACCTTCCTCTATATTGGTTTTGTCCTCATAGAGGAGTCATATTGTTCACACATAAAGTCATTTTCCCCATTAATTTTACTTATACTTTCACCACATAATAATATCACTTTGAACTAGTCACTCATTAAATAAAAGAGACGCCAGTTCACTCCTGTAAAGGCCAGTGTCAGAGATCTTATCTCATCACATCAGACCCTCCTCCAGTTTTCAGAGCTCACTGCTGACAGGAACAGTACAGCTGGGCATCTCCCGTCAGCTCTCATCCCCTGAAATGCAGTGCTGAGGAGATGCTTGGAATTGTATTGTCACTCTGTGCACATGAGTGACTTACTGCTGGTTTTGTCTGCTCCCAGAGGAAGATGGGCTTGAGTCCTCAATGCAGACACTACTCTTGTGTCCTTGAGCAAAGTGCTGTATTTTTTCTAAGTGCCTGCTTTAGTCATTGTGGATATGTAAATGAGGACACCTGCATAAGGTTATGGAATGCAATACTGATGTATTACAGCATATTGTATTGCCCTAGAAACTGTTCAAATAAGATAAGCACTATACCCTCTGTCACGTGACACATCGAAGGGTGGGGTACTGTAACGGGATCTTTCAAAAGGAAAGGAAAACAGACAAATGTAGGCATAAAGGTTAAATACTTTTTACAGTGCAGATAAAACCAGAAACCAACAACAGCCAAAAGCCTAAGCTTGTTGTTGTGCTTCTAACTGCACTTCATTAATAAAAAGCCTTCTTGCAAATGACATTATCCAAGCTGCTTGGCAACAACAAACCCAGACACGAGTGTCGACAGTCTCACTGCATGTCAGAAAGACACTCACATACTATCGCTTCTTTTATATTACAGAGGATCTGTTCTCTTCCTCAGATAGCAGATAATGACCAATGGCTGATAACTTGTAGCCTTCTGTTTTTGAAATGGTCACCTAACCAATTGTCACTAACCACTGGCCAGGTGACTGAGGGCAACAGGGCATCCCCCACAGATTCCTGGGGAGTGTACTTCAGGCCAGAGTTGCCATCTTACCTGAATCTGCTCATTCATTCCAAACTGATAAAGGAAACTTAATCTCTTTAGTCATGGAAAGGAAAACCCACAAAGGGACTTGATTTGGTTTTTTTCAAAATCCTCATGCATAATGATAAACTGCATCCAAATAACTTCTTCAGGACAAATTATACACAGACCAGAGGTGGAAACCTAGTGGAAACTAAGAGGAAATGCATTAAGACTCAAAACAAGAGTAATGTCAGCCAAGCCATGCTGTTCAAGAAACATCTGGTTGAGATCCTTGGATTCAATAACTGCTAGAATCCAAATAATCGAGATAGGCCTTAAAGCTTTCTTTCATGTACGTCATGTAATAAGTATAAGTATAAGAATGTAATGTATTCTTATACTCCATTTCAGGGAGTCGTGTACTCGGTACCACACAACAGAAATGGGTCGGTAAGCCACCCTGGGCTCATGAAGGAGTGGAACATTGTCAGACCAAGGGTGCTCAAGGGAAATGAAGTTCAAGGCCTTTTCTATCAACAGCAGAAAAGGAAAAAAAACTACAAAGACAACACAAATCAGACATGGTGCAAAAATATTTATTGCTAATAAACCTGGAGTCAGTTGGTGTACATTTGCTTTATATTTACAAAGACAGAGCATGGGGAAATGAAACGTGAGACATAATAGTCTGAACATTTAAATAAATACAGAGGAAACTGCCACGCAACAACACTACAAAAAGAAACAAACTGAAAAATATTTGTACTCCCATACAGCTGAGCGAACCATTATGATTACATAAAGAAAATACATATATAATACCAGCCACTTCCATCCTTGTGAATTCAGCCACTGCCTTCATTGGTCCTTAAAATTCATTTTTTTTTTAAAACTTTGTGAGATGCCAACATGCCATTTTACAAAAACCAGAACTATACAGGCTAACAGGCAGGTTAAGCCAAGCTAGGTTTTAATTTGTAAAATGATGGAGGCAAATGTTAACTTTCACTTGTTTATAAGCAAGCAAACATTTGCATTGAAATGGTCTGGGGAAAAGGATCGACACTTTTAAAATGTGTGCATAATTAACCAAACGCAACATCGCACACAGGCCTTGGAGGCTACAACATTGCTACTGTCGCTGTGAAACAATATTCAATCATTGAGCTGTGATGTTACACCTTATCACTTGGACATATTCCTTTGGCTATTTACAGATACTATGAGCAGGTTTAAAATAGTAGCTTGTACAGTAGTGTTTAGAATAAGCACGATAGATGCTCCATAAAAAACAACAAATATTTACAGAAAGATGTAGCAATGTAGTCACAGTAACTGTAGTGCATGGAATGCAGTTTTCTAGACACAAAATTAAAATATAATAACATGTTAAATATAAGAAGTGTGTAACCAGTGTAGCATTGCATCTCTAGATGATTAATTACTGGGCTAAAATATATTGTCTTTCTAAACATGCAGCAAGGCTTGTGGACTTCACAACATTAAAACTCCTTGGTTTCTTTGTTGTCGAACAGGTGGAGTCTCTGCTCAGCAGTCAGACCTTCCTTGAGGCTCTAGGGGGAAAAAAAAAGGAAAAAAAAGCAGCTTGTCAGTGATCTGCCATTGTGTTTTAAATGAAGGACCAGTTCTCTGTTGGTTGTGCCAAAGCAGTGTTTCTTAACCCTGGTCTGCCGGGGGCTAACAGCCAGGACCTGTACATATCACCTGTGATGGTCACAGATTCCAAATCTAACATTGTTTTCTGTTCTATGCAAGGGCACTACTTTTGTTCAGTAGTGATTTTGGAGAGAAGGACAAAGGGGCACAGAATACACAGCCTCTGTTGTAGGCAGCCGGTATAAGTGTAATGCAAACTGCAGAATTCATAGCTGTATGTGAATCAGAGAACAACCCTTTGTTCTGAGTAGACAGGGTTAGAATTGTGCAACAATCTTCTGAGGAGGCCTGTGTAAAAGTAGACACTCTGGAGACAAGTTGTGGTTGGAGTGAATATCATTCTTAAAATAATCACCTGCCTACTTTTGAACAGCAAAATAAAAACTAAGAATAATGTGAAGCATGCTCAATAATTATACTCGAGTCTTTTTTAGTACAATAAGAGTTGGAAATTCTAACTGAGCTATATTTAATAAATGTTATTTATTAACTAATGGGTAGTATATTGCAAAAAACAAAATTATTTTTTTAAAACAGGTTTTGGAAGCCATGTCATTCTAACAATGTATTAGCATTAAGACATAAATAGCAGCCAGTTTGAAATATTTTGTTTTTCACATGCTTGTATGCTACAATTTAGACATTAATTTGCTTTTCACTATAACCTCTAAAATCAGTTCCAACTCTACCAATTCTGCAGTACATACTGGTGTTCTGCAGTAGGCAATCCCATTAAAATCACTGCACGATTCATGTGGGTCTACTATCATGCATACAGGAGCTGCCTTCTATCTGCGAGTATTACTGCCTTTGGAACTTTACACTATACAATGGAATAAGGAAATGGCTCAGTTGTAATATTGCTTCTGATTTGATGTTCTCTTCTTTATTGATGGAAACAACTGATTTGCACATGATCCTAGCATCTTTGAAGTGGATGGAATCATGCACACCACAGTTACCCAGGGAAATCTGGAGGCTAGCTGGCACATGGAAGAATGCTTCCGTAAGCGCTTTGTCTAATTGCTTCCATACCTGTGGAATAAAAGGAGCTGCGCACACCACACATATAAATACTTGCTCAGCTATAGAAGAGACTATTCACAAGACTGAGTGGCTGCCAGCATTTCACCACATCAGGTCTTGGTGAAAAGAGGGACAGCACTGCAAACAAAAAAAAAATCAGAGCAGAGGCGTGCTCTACCCTGAAACGTAGAGGACGCCTAGCAAGAACAGCAAGCACATGCTTTTCCTACAGCCAGCTGGAGCTGGAGAACATGTTCTCTGCTAATTTCCTGCGTCGTAATCAAATGAGCAGCAGTGTTTCAGCAAAAAAAAAAAAACTTTGGCTGAGGTGGGATGATTTATGAATGCACATCAGGAGCAATTTCTCAACAGTCAACAAAGATTATTCAATTTTTATCATGTCTGATTAACTAGGTTACTTTTTTAGCCCCTCCTTTCAAAATATTTTTGGCTTCTTTGACTTTTAACAACAAATAACATGTCGGCCTGGCTTATTTGTGGTAGAACAGCAGGACCTTACCTTTTCTCTCCCTCTTTTCTCATGTTTCCTAAAGAAGTAAACAATGACACTTCTAAAGCATGAGTGTTGTTCTCTTGCAGGTAGTGCAGTTAGTTAAAACTTGGGGGTGTCAGGAGGACCCGTTACCACACCAAATCCTTGTGCCCCATAAATACACACGATTCCCCACACAGATCATCGTTTCATCTTCAACAAGGAATATTGGCTTGTTTACCTTTTCTTATACTTGCGTTGAAATTTGACCAGGAACAAAATGTTTGTTTCTAATTATAACAAAGGTTTAGAATTAGAAATGGGACTCGGTGGTTTTGACCCAGCTGATCTGGTGTTGCATTTGGGATAGCGCCAAGCTTGGAATAAATTACTTGCATTTAAATAGTACTTTTCATAGAGCTTCACATATAGGAGAGGACCCACTTCATCCACCACTGAAGTGTAAGCGCGCTATACAGCAGATCTACACTACAAAGAGAGAAGTAACTTGAATTAAGTTGAATTTAAGGTGGGACTTTTGGGAGGCCAAATTGTGCAGAGTGAATTTTAGCCAGGTCACCAAGATTAACTCTCTTGTGTTCTAGCACAGTACATTGTTGAAGACTCGAAGATGTCTACTCAGGGAATGCAAAGGAAGGAAGCACAGAGAAACACCTGAAAAAGGTTAAATGGTGCCACAACTGCCTGAACCCTCAGGAAACTACAAGGAAAACCCCTTGCTGAAGATAAAAACGCAGTACTGGAATAAGATGCCTTCAATGGCATGCAGTCTCTTTTAAAGACATAGGAGGGATTTTCAGTGGATTGTACCTTACTTACATAATATCTCTATTAACTGCATGATCAGATCTGCTAATCCTTCTGCCCATGAAGAGTAAATTGAGATTATGTTAATATAAATTACCATTCCTAAAAATGCATGAGTGTGCATTTGTTGTGGGAAGACATAATTCTTACATGTTATCTACATGTAAAAAAATTCTATGTTTACTATCATCTAGCTCCTCTGATTAACTTTAAAAATATTCAGCTGATTCCCAAATGATCTAAACCAGGGGGTGTTCAGTCCTAGTCCTGGAGGGCTGGTGTATCTGCAGGTTTACCAGATTTCTTTAAAACAGCAGTACTGCCAGAGCAAGGGGAACTGCCAAAATTGTCCAGTGGAGTTACAGTTACCAGCTGGTTTAGTTTAGTTTAGTGCAGAGTTCGACTGAAAACGCGCAGACTTGTGGTTCTAGCCCTCTAGGACTGGGAATTGGATACTCCTGATCTAAATCAGCCAGGGTGATGATTTAGGTGTTCATTTTGGCGGTTGTTATAAAAAAAACGTATTCCAGCCCATTTTGGAACTGAACTCTTATCTCCATGACGTTTGTGGATGGCAAAAAGAAAGAGAAGAAAGCCAGCAGCTTTTGGGGGAAGCAAAGTACACACTTTAGAAGCAAGGGAAAGCGTGGATCGTCCAACAGCAATGTGTCTGCACAGGGGCTTTACCTAAAGAAGGTGTCATTAGGGTCTTCAGGCGGCTTTAGCTATCCCAGGGCATGTCACGACTCACAGACTGAAGACAGAGGGAGGAAACGTACCAATGCGTGTTAAGAATCAAGACAAACAGCCGCACTGGGAACAAACAGGCTTCATTGCATTTAACAAGCTTGAGCTAAGTAGTTTCTGTAAAATCTACACACAAATGTACTGACTATGAACTGAAAACGATGCAGTTTTGAAGCATAGTCACATGTCTTCACTAACACCAACCAAACGTTCTTCCCATCTTATGGTTATATGAAACCAAATCAATACATTCTGATCAACACCAAATAATTATGCTTTATCTTACAGACTGTACTAGCCTATTGATCATTATTTGGCAATTTCTTTAGAAATGTAAGTCCCAATATCCTCAAATGTATGCCTCTTAGTTAATATTCATGGGTCTTTACCTTTGTGTTACCGTAAGTCATTTTGATCAACATAAAATGCAAAAATGTTCATGGCATGAGCTGAGGTAAGCTGCTTTATGGATACTAAGTAGTATTACTATGTGGAAAACAAAGGATAGTAACTGAATAATTAATGGGTTCTGAACTGCAGTGCAAAGAATGTAGCTTTAAATGTAACATCTGACAACCACAAATCTGATGCTGGTGTTTTGCAGCCCTCCAAGTTTAAGATACAGCAAACGTCAAGCCTGGGCTATGATTTTCGCTTGCAGGGAAAGCTTATAGGAACAAATGATCCTGCTTAAGTGATTAAAATAGTGTATTCCATAAGTTTTCTCCTCAGAAAATGAGAAAGCTGGATAATTTGTGCAGATGTCACATCTAGTCTCGGTGGGAGAACATTTATCTACAGCCCAAGACTTCAGCATGCCATCAGAAATTACAGGTGAAGGCTTGGAATGTTGCAGGGCCATTTACTACTACAAGTATGACAATGCTTTGCTGTTGTTTTCTCAAACTCAGTGCACATTCTCCTCTGCTATGCTTGGTATGGCAGTGTAGCCTATAATGTCAGAGGAAGTCTGTGAGGAAACAAGACATTTCATGAGTTACCTTGCAGGATTCTTGGATGTTCAGCCCATCAAGGCAAACAAGATACTGTATTTAAGGTAGAGTACTGATTATGTTCAGGAACATAGTCATTACTCAGATGAGAGATTCCCAGGTAGAAAAGCTAGCTCAATTACTGTTTTTAAGAAAGGTCTGTTAACAGCTATGTGGAATTTTATATAGAAAAGGGAGCCATTTCTTTACACAAATGGTTGGGGGAGTTTCTCGCCAGAAACAGCTGGATGAGATCCTCAGCTCAGTGTTATCTATTAGCAAGCAAATATGCTACAGGGGCCAAATGGCACCTCTCCCCTTGAAACTGGAATTGATAATATTAAGTTATATTTTGAAAAACGTAGTCAGCGCAGTTAAAAAATGTAAAGGACTGATGCATTACAATATATCAGTACGCAAAAATTTGCTACAAACTTGATATACTGTAGTGATTTTAGCATCTGTTATAATATGTACTACTTCTAACAGGCAATGTTTAGAAATTAGTCTTAAGGCCAACACCAAAAATGCTCCTTTTTTTCTTGTTGATATACGTTTTGGTAACGTCCCAAATACAGCTCATAAAAAGTTTTTGTTTAGTCAGAAAAGAGTCACCATTTGGCCCAAATGGAAGTAAGCTCTCACATAAATAAAAATACATACAGTAGATGCATATTTGTTTTTCCTCATGGAACAGAATGACTATAGCAAGAATGAAAGTGTACCAGTTTTTAGAGTTTCCAACGGGTGACTAAGGTAAGGATTTTGCATAGGCCTCACCAATATCTGTACCTACAGTATGTTGTCTTTTGAAAAGCACACTTCCACAGCAATGAAGAACAGCAGAATAGTGAAGGTACTCAAGAGTGGTGATGTAGGCTGTCACTCACCTGTGCTGCCTCCATCTTCCTATAACCTGTGCTAATTGTGTGGGCTTGGAGTTATAATTTATCTGCTAGATTTCTGTTCAGCTTAATTGAACTACTAGAACAGATTTTAAAGTTTAGTCTGCTTTTAAATCATTTTCAATATTATATTCATCATATCCCAAAAAATGTAGATATTGAACATATTTTACAGTTATCGTAGTGCATAATCTTGCAAGACGTTTAAGAGAGCTGGTTCATGAAAAAGATAAAACACACATCCTAAACTCAAGGAGGTCCTGTAAGTATGTTTAACTGAAGTAAACCTCGAGAAAATCAAAGCAGTATGTCAGAAAAATGGCAAGAGGGCTGCCAAGCCTTCAAGAGCTAAAGAGTATTAAATTGTTCTTTAAGACTATAAACGGCAAGGAATTAGAAATCATCATCTGCAATCTGTTGGGACGAAAAGCCTCCAGGATAGGGTGTTCCCTGTGTGTGAAGGCTAAAATGAAAATTGATCCACCTGGTTGGCCTTTGACAACCTAGTAACTGGAGTATATAGCATGTATGAGCTCTGCATGCTTATTCCTAATTCTTTAAAGATCTCTAGGGATTCCGGGGCACATGAAAGGTGCAATTAAAATTCTATTGGCATTTCAATATAATAAAAAGAAGACGCAAAGCCAGGAATTTCTCTAGATGCACAGTGGTCTCACCTATACACACAAAGGCTACAAATTTGCAAGATTCTATGCTGTTCTCAGTTTGAGCATTACTGAATGACTAAGATCTCATGTTTTAACATTCAGCAGCCTGGCACAGTTCAACGCTACAGAGCGGATCTGGAGTGTACAGCCCTCACTGGGTGATCTGGAGTGTGTAGCCCTCACTGGGTGATCTGAAGTGCAGCCCTGGTGATACACTATGGATTGGTATACTGTAGCTTTCAGTAGGCTATCAAAGGTTCTCTTTGCCTGCCTTCTGTGCAGTTAGACACCTCTTACAAAAGATAATAATACTGTTACTGTTATGAATGCCTAATTCAGTGGAAAAAAAACTCTGACCACTTTTTATTAAACTCATTCATTAAAAAAGCTGAAAAATACAATCCTTTTATGGCAAATGCTTACCTTTGACCTCAGTGTCCGTTCTGACCGCTTAGCAGCTGCGGCAGCCATCTTGAGAATGTCCGGGTTACTTTTTGACTTCATGATATCTAAGGAGAAAAGCCCAACTAAATCAGACACTGCTGAGAAAAATACAATCTGGGATAATGATGAGATCATCAAGTTTAAAAAGGTGAACACTAATTACCAATACAAAGATTACAGAAGCTTTATCACATATCTAGTATTATGAGATATGAAGGCTGTGAATCCAGCAAAAATGTCAAATGTATCTCAAATGTATACAAGTAAAAGGAATTTTCAAATTAAGTAATTGGGACTAATCGGGATGCAGGGAACAGTTTAAATCGAAACTTTACCCCTGCAAACTAGAAAGCTGGAGTGGTAAGGTTTGGCTTAAAGTTTGACAAATTTCCACAGCAGTGGACAATAAAGTATCTATCCAACCACAGGCTCCTTTCTTTAGGAAGAGCTACCACTACTTGTTACTACCACCAGGTGGCGCTCCTAACCCTACCATAGCCACTGCGCTCCGTGTCCTCCAAGGAGGGCTCGCCCAGGGCCTCGTGGGCCTGTTGTAGCTGGTCCCGGAGCCGCCCGATGTCCCTCTCCGCCTTGGCCTTCACAATACTGAGCTCCGTGTAGATGTCTTTGTACTTATCGGTGGCGTACTTCTTATCCTTGGAGGAGGAGGGAGAAAAATCAACAATGCTTGAAAAGGCAGGAGAATTACCTTTCCATTTTAATTTTGAGCTTTTATTAACTAGCATGTCAACAGGCACAATGAACAATGAACAGCACTGTGAAGAGCTTCTAACCCATTCTAGCAATCACTGGTCTTTCCCCGGGTAATTGTTTTTTTGTCAAGATTAATTTCGGTACCTTGATACCTAACAACACAGTACCATGAAAAGACTAAGTACTGTATATATATATATCTCTACTGTAAAATGAAATTTTTCCATTGTGGTGTCGACAAACTAAAAGCCTTCATGTAATTGGATAAGCAGATTTGTGATTTCTCTTTACTGATGGACTGGAGAGAATTGTATTTCCATTGATCCCTCCAGCTTTATTTAAGGAGATAACTGCTTGAAGGATGCTAGCTTGCTGATCCTGCACACCCACAAGAGAAGGCATCAGGGAGCAGCAGAGACAAGAGCTGCCACAGCAGACTCAGAATAATCATGTCCACCGCATGCACAATCTATTCCTTTTTGCGGGTACTCACTCTCTGTGCTGTCTGTAGCTCATCCTTGAGGGAGTTGATCTCCTGCTTCAGGTATTGGACTTCAGATTCCTTTACCCGCAGCATGACCTGAAAAAGAAAACCAAGGAAAGAAGAAAATAAAAGAAAAACAAAGTCATAATTATTTTTTCATGCAACGGTGGGGTGAAATGTATTTGTTGGGTATTTGTACCGAATGGATTTCAACAAATGTGACGGGTCTTTAGCGGTGAAAGGGGAATAAGAGACAACTGTTCACATCTTTTAATAATAAACATACCTGAGGTTACATTTCTGTTACGTCCCAGTGTGTGGTCTGTGTGTGTTTTTTTTATGTTCCACACTGCACCAACCAACAAAGACGAAGCACACACTGGGACGTAACAATTTCCATGGATATTAGAGCTGTTGCCTGACAGTGCCAGTGTCCTGGGTTTGCTTCCTGACCAGACCTCTATGTGGAGTTTGCATGTTCTCCCCAAGTTCACACAGGTTTTGACTGGGTGCTCAAGCTTCCTCCCATCCCCCCCAAAATGTTCGCAACATTTGATTGGTCATTTTACTTTGCTCCTGGACCAGCAATGCACTGGATGTAACATGCAGGACAATAACTGTAATGTGTCCTCAGTCTTCACTGTCTTGATGGCTCTCGTGGCGTCTGGAATACGCTCTGGTGTGCCAAACCTCTCACCAGGATACATGACATTCTGACAAATGGGTTGAGATGAGTTCAATTACTGGGGTGTTATGTGTGTGGAGTTTGTGTGTTCTTCCCAGATTTGCATGGGTTTCCTCTGGTTTTCCAGTTTCCTTACACATTCCAGAGGCATACTGATAGGGTAACCGTCTTTTGGGAACCCTGGCCCTGCTGTGAGTGTATGTGTGTCTGTGCGTGCCGCCTATATGACTGGTGTCCTGTCCTGGGTGTACCCCGCCTTGTGCCTGCTTCTCTGGCTCCCCCGACAGAGACCTTGAATGGGAAGAAGCAGTTAGAAAATGGATGGACGGTTGAATAGAACAAAGGCTGACAGAAACACAGGGAAGTGGATCTGTGTTCACTGAGGCAGTCTCCGAGAGCCACATGCAGGTCTCACAACACTGATAAAGGCTGACATCTAGTGGCTGGTTTCTAGGAACCAGACAAGAACCTCTTAAAACCTCCTGTCCTTTCAAATACTTCTGCAACTGCTGTGCTTAAATAAAGAACTTTGTTTCTATATGTATTTTGTGTATTCTATATGTAAAAATGACTAAAACATAGCTACTGCAGTAGAGTACATATCAAATCCTAACATTCTCATATACCCATCAGCGGGAAACACATTAGACAGTCCTACATTTATCCCCCAATGGGTTTTTTGAACATAAAAAGATAGATTTAGGAAGAAAAATACTAAGCACTTTCAAAAACACCCTGGATTTGTTTGTGTAAAGCCTGGTTTTATACACAATCATTCCTGTGTTTCCTGCCTGTGTGTTTCTGAAAACATTAGCCAGTTCTGGGGAGGGCTGCTCAGTTGTGGCTGTGATTCAGGAACTCCACTAAGACAGTGCTCAATAACATGTTCAGTCTGACACACTCAGCTGGGCTGAGCAGAGGGAGATTTGTCAGCCACAGTTTTCTTTTCCTTTTCAGCCAGAACAGCCAATTGTGTTTTTCAGGTCTGGGCCGACTCCTCCCACCCGCCGGTCTTTGAGACACTTGCCTCTTAACAAGTCACATAGGTTCAGTGTCGACAGGATTAGCAGCACATTCCTCACTCACAGCACTGCATGCCTGCAAGTGCCCAGGAGGTCTCGGGGGTGGCTGTGTGACAGATCCCAAATCCGTGGCTGATGAATCCTGCCCTACCCCTTGGCTGGGCTCACCCAAGTTTGCGCCACCGCAGAGGAAAGCGTAGTCACAGTCAGCTTGCGACACAACCCAGGCTCGAACCCACAATCACAGAGCTCTGCCTGTGCTCGGGCTTGAGCCAACCCACACTGTTCTGAGTGCACTTCCTGCTCTCCAGGAAATAACAGCAAGCAGTGTGCTGGCTTTTTTGGATTTAAACTGCAATAATTGTAAAAGTGTGATCAAGCTACCCTGAAATAAAAATAGATTGTTTAATTGTATATTAAAAAAAAGACTGAAATTGACTGAATTCAATTCTGGCACAAACAGACAGTAGTGTGTTCAGATGTGCAGGAAAGCAGAATGCCTCTCACCTCCAGCTCGTACACCTCCTTGCCGTGTATAAGCGTACAGCTGTCGCCGCCGTCCTCACTGGTCACCATTGACCTCAGCTTGGTTATCTCCGCTGCCAGGCGATTATTCAGCTCCTGCAACATCCGACGTTTTATTTTAAACCCCAGGAAACCTCCGGAAAGAACTGTGCACTTCGGTAGAGTTTTTCCATGTTA